TCTGATAAAGTAGTCACCATGTCTTACAACCAAAGAGGAACTGGTGCTTTTCCACCAGGGTCCTTCACAATGGTGCTTTCTCATATCTTTGCACGTTCCTGGGTGAGTCCCATTCCGATCCTGAACTCCTGGACACAGGGTCTTGGACACCTTCTATATTTTCTCCATGCTTGGCCATCACCCTATACTGTATTTTATCCCTCTTTTTTGTGTGTGTGCGTGAGGAAGATTGGCCCTGAACTAACATCTATTGCCAGTCTTGCCCTTTTTTGCCTGAGGAAGATTGTCCCTAAGCTAACATCTGTGCCAATCATCCTGTATTTTTTGTGTGTGGGATGGCACCTCAGCATGGCTTGATGATGGGCGAGTATGTCCACAACCCGCATCTGAACCTGCGAACCTTGGGTCACTGAAGAGGAGTGTGCAAACTTAACCACTAGGCCACCGGGCTGGCCCTATCCCCCTCTTTTAAAAGGGGATATGACTCTATGACTTCCATAGGATACTTCTTTGCCAACTCTATATTCTTGTGCCTCACTTTTCCACACAAATTTGTTATCTGGGGGTTCCTGATTTGTGCTGTGTTCTGTATCTATTTTCAGGATCTTTTTGGCCAACTGCCCCTAAGACTATGTCTTGAATCCTTTTATCTTCTATGGCAGTGATTCTCAAACTTTGGGGGATCTTTTAGAAATCCCACAGACCAGTCCCCATGGCCTAGTGGTTAAGTTCCGTGCACTCTGCTTCAGCGGCCTGGGTTCAGGTCTCAGGCTTGAACATATACCACTCGTCTGCCAGTGGCCATGCTGTAGTGGCAACTCATGTGCAAAATAGAGGAAGATTGGCAACAGATTTTAGCTCAGGGCGAATCTTCCTCAGCAAACAAACAAACAAAGCCCCACAAAGTTTAGGCTGCACTCTAGATCAATCAAATCAGAAGCCCTGGGGTGGTACCCATGCATTGATATTTTTTAAAATTCTCTAAGATATTCCAACATGTAGCCAAGTATGACAGCCCATATTTTAAGGACTCTTCCCCATTACATGCTCTTGGCATCAGTGTTCTTGCTAGCCACATTCACTGTGCTCTGAGGAAGCCCTTGGACTATAGGCAGGGCTGACCACACTGGCTTTTTTGCATGGTGGCCACTCTGAGCATCCAGCCTGCAAACCAGTTTGACTCCACAATGGCCATTACAATTTCTCCCAACCCTTGACCTCTGCAGATTGATCTGTCTCTTCTCATATTTTTTTTCAAAGTCATTATCTTAACCTCAGACAGAAGCTCCAAGTTGTCCGTTGAAATAGTTATGCTTAGGGAATATTTGGAAGGCTGTGCTACGAAGATAATAAAACTGATGTCTCTGGTCTTCCATTTTTCTTCAAAACCTTTTCCTTTTGCCAAAAACAATCTGCCAAACTTAGGGCCATATTTTGCAACCAAAGGTAGTAGGAACATCCAAGAGAAAAGCAAACCAACAAACCAACTGTAACTAATTCTCTGCCCACTAGAGTAAATGAAATTAGGAACATTTTGTGAGGCTTTTATTTGAATTTACTTTTTTTCTATTTGTGTTTAAAAGAGAAAAAAAATAGGCAATTCAGTTCTTATGTAATGCACCTTAGTTCAAATCATTTCTTTGGAAGTTTTGCCGTGCCTCCCCTTATTGCTCATTGAAAATCCACCTATTGCACTGAAATGGGAGTGTCTGACTCTAATGCTGGACTTTGACCTCCTGTGTCTGACTTGTCTTTGTATCTCCAATGTTTGGCCCCAGAGGAAAATCTCAGTAAATGCTTGCCAGGTGCATTTCTACTAACCCTAAATTCGGTTAGAGATTTGCCTCTTCATTCCAATTTTTTGCAGTAATTAGTGGATATCACAGACTAGACATTTGCTAGAAGATTAGAGAGTCACAGAGACTTTTGCATTCTTGGCTGTGTTGCTGTGCGCCAACCACTAGGTCTCTGGCAAGAACAACACAATATATGATCGATGCTGAATAAATGTGTTTGACCAAAAGCCAAGAAGAACACAAAAGGAGGAAGTGAACTGGGATGCCACTTGTGGCTGTAATTTCAGCTGGACCCTGAGGATGGATGGGATTTTGACAGGAAGAAAGTATTGGAAAGGAAGAGACAGAGTCACGAGTGCATGTGGAGGTGCCGGGGGAGAGGGGTGTGGAGTCACTTCCCTTTCATTATGTGCAGATGTGGAGAAATTGGATAAATGAAAAGGGAGATTAAAATTGTACAATTTCAGTCATTTCCTCAGCAGTCATCTCTCAGAAGGTTGGTTCTATAGCTGCTGGCAGGTGGCCAACTTGCTAAGTCCTCTTAAATTGACAGAGAAGCCAGATAAATATCCACTCTTGGCAGCACTTCCCTGACAGATGGTCTGGCATTCATGGTGTAATCCAAGACAACAATGGCAGAGCTAAAAACTCTCTAGCCTAGCATCTCCTAGTTACTGCCTGCAATATGTAACTCGGATTTCAATGTGCTAGCAGTTACTGTGGTGGAAACAAGGGAGATGAAACCATATATAATAACCAAGAAATTGCATCCACAACTAAGAGGGTGAATGTCTCTGATGGGGGTACATAAAAAGCTGCCTTTCAGGCATAAAGTGCAAAAATATAAGAGAGTAAGCATTTTTTTTTCTCAAAATGAATGCCAGTAATACTCTTATGACCCCACATGAAATGAAAAATAAATGAGATTCTAAGAAAATTTCATTCAGTAGCTTTTCAAGTCTTTTGGTCAGTAAGTTGAGTTTTAGAGCCAAGAAAAAATTTCAGACAACTTGTAAATGTCCTTGATGGCTGTAGCAATTGTTTGCACTGCTGTTTTTGGATACTCACCATGCCATGTACAAAGACACAGGACAATGTGGTGTAGGAATGACAGTGTGATCCAGGGCAAGTAGGGAGTGGAAGAAGATGGGGCGCCATCGTGTAAGCTGGGTCTGTGGCCGTGTCATCACCTCTCAGTTTCATGTGCCATTTCTCTTAACGAGATCTCTCCTTTCATAATCTAACTTTTATTTTGGAGAATTTACTGTGATTTGCCAAAAGCCACTTATTTCTATTTCCTATAGAATGACTTAGCAACTTAAAAACAAAACAATGAGATAATCTTGGGAACATCAGCTAGAATTATAGAGATATTGACAGGATGTAAATAAGTGTCTTGTAGTAATGAAGCTATTAATGGAGGTCTAAGATAGTAGCGTTGATGCCTAAAGTAAGATCTTGAGGAGGAAAGTATAGGACTTCATCAAAAATAGAGTAGACTAAGGAAAAGGAATTATTGATGCTTCCAAGTCCTTTAGAGTCATGAAGACATCTATTACCACAGTTGCCAATATTGTCAGTAGAAACTGTTTGAAACTTGTAGCCCCAGAATAATTACAATCTTGTAGTTACTGTTTGAAAGGAGGCCGTGATCAATGGTGGAATCTCATAACTTTATTTCAGTTTTAGCTGAGAAGTTAATTATACCTGTTTTCCCCATAGGTCTAATTATTTGTTTCTAAAATGTTGCTTTAAATTGATATTTTTGTTTCTAATATCTATTCATGAGAATTCAAATTTAAAAAATGATACATTTCTGTGTGTCCCTGCAATAGATTTACGCCTAAGAAGAAAATCTATGCTGGTTCTCAGTTGCTGAATTAAATAATGTGAAGTCACTTAGGAAGGGACCTTATCCTAAAGAGAAAATGGATCCTGCGGTGAGGACTCCAAACTCTGTTTGTTCCCGATTATTACACAATCCATATTATTGCGGGAGGAGAGAAGGATCTGTTGTGGGAGGAGTACTTCTTTCAATGATTGAACAAAAATGTATTGATCTCTGAACCCATGCCAGGCTTTGTTTCAGGTAGTGGAGATACGATACCGAACACATACAGCGAAAAGTTCCTGACTTCCCTGACCTTACAATTAACTAATAATAAATAAATATCTGTCTTAGGTAATGTCGATGCCCTACAACTACAGCCCACCACCAGCACACCTTTAGTTAAATAAAGCTGGATTTATTACTCATTGCAACAAAGGACAGCATACTCTTTGGGGAAACAGGGGGTCTCAATAACAATGTGTTCGAAAGGACTTTCAGAATTTGAGTTTGTGTTAGATAATTTGGGGGGGGGGTGTTGAGAAAACAGGGCTTTGCTCTGGATTGGCTGCTATCTGGAAATGGAAGTAATTGAAGTTTGGGATTTTTCTGGCTTTTCCAGTGCTTTCTGTCTGTACTTAGGCACAACTATAAAGTAGCATTTTTTTTATCGCATTTTATCATGGTCACGAGGTGGCCTTGTCTGGGGGGTGGGGTTCTGTGAAATTGTTTATATTGAGCAGCCCCTGGAAGTCAGGGGCTGCTTTTGTTGTTCTCACTCATGATAGAAACTATGAAATAAAAAACAGTGTGAGGATATGGGAGTGGCAGTGCTATTTTGGATAGAGTGGCCAGAGAAGGCTTCCCTAAAGAGGTGATGTTTGAACTAAGGTCTGAGTGAAATAAGACAGCGTGCCATGTAGATACATGTGGGAAGACCATTCCAGGCAGTGGAACAGCACCTCCAGAGAACTGAGGCAGGAATGTGTTTGGTGTGGTCAACCAAGTTCTAGTTGTAGTCGTAGCCATTGTCATTATGATTATAGCTGTTGTGCTCATTGTTATAGCAGCTATGGTGGGGACAATGGAGGTCATAGAAGAATTAAGGCTAACTACTAATAAAAACGCAGCTACCATGTATTGAGTATCTATTTTGAACTCATGTAATTTTTCTCACTTATTATCACTTAATCCTCAATGACTTGACATGTTACATCAGTGAAAGTAAAGTACAGGATGGTACCTAGAATATACTCAAATTTATGTCAAAAGAGCACAAATGTGTGTGAGTTATCTATTGCTGTGTAGTAAATCATCCCCAAACGTAGCAGCTTAAAACAATGAACAGTTGTTGTCTTGTTGTTTCTGGGGGTCAGGAACACAGGCACAGATTCTCTGCTGCGGGGTCTCTCACAAGCCTGCAGTCAAGATACCAACCAGAGCTGGGGGCTCAGCGGAAGGCTCCACCGGAGATGGATCTGCTTCCAAGCTCAAGCTCCTTTACCCGCTTGTCGTGAGGCTTCATCTCAAGGACTGTTGGGTTGAGGGCCCTAGTTCCTCACGAGCCGTTGGCTGTAGACTGCCCTCAGTTACCTGCCATGTGGCTTTTCTTTTGTTATGCTTCATCAAAGCCAGCAAGAGGCAGGGTCCGCTAGCAAAACCCAAGTGACAATCTTTTGTAACCTAATCACAGAAGTGGCATCTTCTCAAAGTTAATGAATCTGTTGGAAGCAAGATAGTCAAGTGGTGGGGATTACCAAAGGTTTTGAATACCAAAAGATGGGATTATTTGTGACCATCTTAGAGGCTACCTACCTCAATGTGTATGTGTGTCCTATTGTATGCCTGTAATAAGTCCAAAGGATAAAAAATAAAATAGTTGCTTGAATGCGAGTAGAAAGGGGAGAGATAGATGACTGTTTATTCAAGTTTCTTTTATTCCCTTTGGACATGTAAAGCCTGGGTTTGAGATACCAGCTGGGCCTTCAATTGGTGATATCCGAGAATGAGTCTGAGGACACAGCAGTCCCCCCATTATCCGCAGTTTTGTTTTCAGTTACCCACGATCAACAATGGTCTGAAGATAAGGTACAGTAAGATATTTTCAGAGAGAGAGACCACATTCACGTAACTTTTATTGCACTATACTTTTATTGTTCTATTTTACTATTTGTTATTGTTATTTTCCTACTGTGCCTAGTTTATAAATTAATCTTTATCACAGGTATGTATGTATAGGAAACAGCATGGTAGATATAAGGTATTACCCACAGGTTTAGGCATCCACTGGGGTTCTCTGAATATATCCCCCGTGGATTAGAGGGGACTACTCTATATGAATTTGGAGTTCAGAGAGAATCTGGAACTGGATATAATATTTGGAGTCATGAATCAGGAGATGATATTTGAAGCCATGATCCCGGTTCAGATCACGCGGGAAGGAGGCTTGAGAGAAAAGAGAAGAGGTCTCAGGTTTGAGTCTGGGGGTGCTTTCTTTTGTTCCTTTTAAGAACATATGTTGGTAAGCCACAAAATTGCCTACTAAAAATGTTTCTTGTAAACAAAAATGTTTAAAAGCACAAAATACTCAAAAGATGGAAAATGGTAAAAAAAAAAAAAAAATTTAAGACAATGGTACTGTGATTAATTTGAATTTGGTTTACCACTCAAGAGTCCACAGGTTCAAATATTATCCAGATTGACAATTGAGGGTAAAAATTCAAGATTCAAGAGTTCAGAAAATAGGGAAGTGAGTGGAGAAAAGCAAGGAATTAGAGCCAAAATGGCTGATATGCTTGGTGTAATTCTCCACCTTGAAAAACCCATGGGCCCTATTTATCTTCAGCCCATGGCTATGTCTCCTGTCCAGTATGACCCTCTCAGATCTGAAGTTATTCAGCTCCTGTTTCTTCCACTTGCTCCCAGAGCAGGTTATTTTCTAGAATTTCTTTCTTTGAGATACAGTTATTTTTATTTCCATAAATGCGTAGTCATGAATGGTACCTGACCAAGAACACACAGAATACAAGTATCAACTGTGTCTGAAGGAAAAAAGAAAAGTTTGAGTAATAAACTAAAACATCCCTGAACTTCATCTATTCCACTGCCAAATTGAGGATTTGGAGTAAATTACCTTAAGAATCACTTGAACCTTTAAGATTTCTGATACTCCTTTCCTGAAATGATATTATTGCCTCCTCATAACTACTGCTATGTGACTACAATTGTATATTTTACAGAAGAATTTACGCTAAGTATATAATTAGAAGGAACAGTGACAATACATCCATGGCCCGTTTTGGAGAATAAATCTATCTTGGCATTTTTCTACTCTCTGAACTTGGTTCTTAACAAACATAACATGATAGAGTTAATGTACAGTATCTCCTAATTATAAGCACTGCATGAGAATTGAAACGTTCACGTAAGCAGAATAGCTGAAAAATCAATATGTTCTCTGTGGTTCTAAATGTCAAAGTTTATGGCAGGGTTAATTTGGTTATAATAAAGTGATCATAAATGGTGAAATTTGCTAAATACTATACTCTAACATGGGGAAAAAAATCCCTAGAGGAAGGGTTGCTAGTGCTGGTGCTAAAATAAAGCATGTCAATTAAAGGTGATGAGCGATGGGAAGCACCAGGCTCAGATGAAGTTCTGAAGCCATTGAAATCTCTTTGGTACCCACCCTGCATCCCAGTCTCTCTCCCCCCATCTCCTCTGCATTGATCCCAGGAATTCCTCTCCACTAGAATTAAATACTAACCACTGCTGAGGCTGAGGCAAGCCCCTGTGTGCACAACACTCGCCCATAAACAGCACACCGGTGGCCCCCCTCAGCGCCCTCCGCACCCCCATCCCCAAATTCCCACACACATCCTTCACGCGGTCCCCCTCGTGAATACCCCTCCCCTGTGCCTCTCTCCTGCATTCATATGTACCCTGTAAGTGCCTCCCCTACACGTGCCCTTTACCCCCAGAAATACACATCACCACCCAGGGACACCTACACAACATGCACTCACACGTACATTCACTAACAGACACACACATCTGCACCCACACCTGCTCCCAACATGCACGTCTAGACTCCACTTGGCCACTCACATTAACACATGTGAACACACACATCTGTACATACATGCATACACACTCATGCACACATACGCGTGCACTTGAAGATTTAATATGCTTCTTAGGAAAGTTTGCTTAATCCAAAACTACATATTTCATGAAATCAGAAGAATTGTGAGTAATGTGGCTTACACAACTAGAGCCTTTGCTTTTACCCATTTTAGATGTTAGGCTAAAGCGGTGTGTACTATATATCCCACATATTCAATAAAACTAAGCTGCTCCGGTATGCATTTAAATTAGCTTTTCAGTTTCACATAAAAATAAGAGCTGTGAAACTACCTTGTCAGCAGTGGTTTTATAGAATCCTCTGTCCAGGTGAAAGTTAATGCTCCTTGAGTTGACATACGGAGCTAATTTGATGGATGTATGTTCAAATGAAATATGTCGCAATGATTCAAAGGCTGGGTAACGCTGATATACTAGCTGGTTGGACGGTAATTTTTTTATATAAATTAAATTATTTTTATGATGTAAGTCCTTAGGGACCAGCACCGGGAAAACTTGGAAATTGAGACAATAAAGATAATGTTTATTTCAAAAGACAAATAGTACTGTCAGTTTGACTTGTATTTACTAAAATTAACATGATAATATTAGATACACCTATAATTTTTTGGTTACATCTATGTTAATATGGGAAGCACAGATTTATTTTGTCATGGAAACGTTGTATTTAGGTGTTTCGTGAGCAATGCTTATCCGGTGCTCTTGGTACCATGTTTACTACAATTTGCATAAAGCAGAAGTTATTCTATCACAGGTATTCTTCCTAAAGACTTTACCACTTGAAAATTGGAATTTGTTGAGAGGTAGCAACTCCTTCACAGACCATGAGCACACAATAATAGATGAAATGGAATGCGTTTTAGTCTTTAGAGATTTCTGTGGGGTATTAGAAATAAAAGACTACTACTACTACACTGAAAGACACAATGTCAGGAGACATTTTACTAAACTCTCACAATATATTTATGGCTATGATGAAGAAAATTAAACTGGATTATAGCTGGGTTAATTGAAATCGTATAGCCTTTCCTTTAGTTCTGATTGTCAGCAACTAACAACAACAGGATGAGTCGGACCTGTAATTTACACCAGTAGAAGTCAGATATTTTCATGTCATATTGTAGTTGTTATAGATATCTCAAGATATAGTTTATATTCATCTCTAGAAACTAGTTATTAGTGTGCCATGAAAGCTTGTTAGTTAATGTAATAAACATACATTTTTATATAATATTTTGTTGTCTATATATCAATATTGTTCTGGGATGAAGTTCACAAACTTTACTGGACTGCCAAGGAGGTCTGTTGACGCAACGTAGTCAAGAACCCACACTCTAAATGAATTCCTGAAGACTTTGCCATTGATTCAGTTGTTTTTAACAGCAAACAGCTTGATTAAAATGTAGAAATTAAATTTATCAAAACAATGTAGGAAGTTACTTGTGAAGAGTCAAAAATTGTATTTCAGAGAGCAGAAGATCAATGGAGATAGAAATAAATATTCTGTGCATATAAACCACCAATAAAGATTTATACTAATTAAGTATAAGTAAGGCTTAAAAGCATCCATCTTCGAGAAGACTTAGGTGTTTCCATTAACTAAATTGTCCCAACTTAGTCTTAAATCATTATTTTATAGGGTGGCAAAAGTTAGACGAACAAGTGTTTGAAAATGAGTTGGAAGAAAAAGAGAGAGCTTAAATATCAGAGTGGAATCTTAAACCATACCATGTATCACATACATGACCAGTTTTAGCCTAATTGGCATGCAGTCACTATGTAGAAAACACAAAGAAATGTAATCTTTAGGGGCATGTTATTTAACTCATATAGTGTTAAATTGATACGTAATTTTTTTTCTATTGATATTGACTTTAGAAAAATAAAGGGTATTAACTGACCCAAAAAAGCATATCCCATGATCAGATTATCATTAAACACAGCCAAGATTCCTCCACATTTATAGGGAGGTGACGCATGTGTGTGTGTTAGTCATATAAAATTGAAGCAGAAAATGTTTGCTATTCCAAATGATTTTAAATTGTTATACTTGTATTCATAATAAATAAATATCTTTCATTAGTGTGTGATCCTCATCTGGTTATGACTTCTTGTAGGTTTTAAATATTGTATACTCAAAATGTTAATAAAGTCCATTTTTTTGAGAAAATTTCAAAGAAGCAATGTAATGAATCTTTGCATCATCTATTACACATCTGCTTTTGGAAATTAATTGTCTTTAAGCACTTAATATATTTGGGAAGCAATTTGTCTATTAATAGCATTATGAGATTTTAATATAAATTCAATTTATACGAATTGTGCTCACTGTCAATTGCTACTGGATTAAAAGTGTGATTTGAATGGGGATTAAATATTTCACAGTTATATAAATTGTGAAGATAATGTTTTCCCTGCCATGATAATTTCTGCCTGTTACCTAGTTTTTTTCTTAAAGTTTTTATTTTTATTAAAAATTTCTCTGTAAATAACTATAATCGTTGATACCTTTGACTATCCTTAAGACTGTTAGAACAGTTAGTGATAGCTGTGTTATTTAAACTATCAAAAAAAATGCGTTAGATTCATCCAGCTATGTCAACCCCCAAGTAGCTTGAAGATGTGTAATCCTGTTGGGTGTCTGTACTCTGCTGAATTAACTAGATGTGGACTGTGATGGTCATAGCAATACAATATGAGAGAGAATTGGGCTGTATGCATAGTGTGATGGAGAAGGACCAAGACATACAAGAGGCAGAAGCCATGCTTGTAAGTTTTGCTTTTAAAAAATGTAGACCAAAACACGTCAAATCTTCCCAAAATTTTCCCTGATAAACTAACTCCTCACTTCTCACTACCCCTTTACTCTATATCCATACTCTGTTTTGTGTACTACTTAAAACTGCAAGCTTTCTTAATGATTTTATTCTCTTATGCTTTCTCTTCAACAGAATTCTAAAGTCCCATAGGGATGAATTGTGTCTCTGTTATGCTTCTGTTTCTCTCATGGACAAAATGGAGGCCCCACATTGCATGGTGGGATCTGTTAATAATGAGAAGGCATGAGTGGATTGGTGAAAGAGCAGAAACTGTGGACTGTTTGGGGACAAAATCTTCATACACATTCTCAGACTCTCACTAATGCCTTCTTCTTTCTCTCTTTCTTGGTTGTCATTCTCACCCATGCCGGCCTTTGAAAATAAGTGTGAGAGGTGGGCTTCTATGTGGCTGTCAGGGGATCTGGAGGACATTAGTTTTCCAAAAGGGGAAACCAATCAACAGGAAATGGGAGGCAAGAAGGAGCCAAATAGACAAATTGCCACTGTCTTCCCTTCTCCAAGATGAGATTCCCCTTTGCAACACTTTTGGAGAATTATCCAGAGCTGAATGAACATTCCTGGGATCTGCTGTATCATTCTGTGGATCAGGGTGAGGCAATAGCCATGTCATTGCAGAGCACCTTCCTTGGCCTCACTTTCTTTTCTCCTCCTTTCCTCGACTCTGATCTCACATTACCCAAATAACATTTGAGTACCTAAATCCTTTCCTGAGACTGTTTTCTAAAGTTCCTGGACTAAGAAAATTTGTGCTTGAATATTTTTAAAATACACAGCCTCAGGATGGGTTTTAAGATTTGCAGTGCTCATCTGAATGAAAGTGATAGTGACCATACGGCTGGCCATTAAGTAGGGTGGTCGTAATCCCTAGTATGCCGTGGCTGGGCTGACTTGGAAGGAGGTACTAGCTCATGACACTACCCTAGAAGACTAAGGAATTCTTGCTATACTTCAGGATAATGGAAGAGAATGGTTTTTGACAGAACTTACAGAAAGATATGACAATCTCGGGGAGGTCAACTGCCAATTTAAGACATGTTCTGAAAGCCAGGGGGCCTCAAATGTGGCTCCGAGGGGTACTCTCCTGCCACCTCACAGAACAACATGCTGAAAATCAGGCTCTGATTATAAGAGAGCAAAGCTGCAAACAAAACTAAATGTAGATTTCCTTTGTCAAAGTCAGGGCCCTGGTAGGAAAAAAAATGTACTCCCTCAGACTTGCTTGGGGATATACAGGTGGATAAACACAAGACATTTGTATCTTCGGAATTCCCTGAGTCCCTCCTTGCCAAAGGAGATTAGCTTCCCCTTGCCTGGAGACCATGTGAAGACCTTACTGAAAGCGGGTGCCTTGCAGGATGAAGCTTTTTCTGCCCTCACTGCCCCTCATTGCCTCTGAGTCAATAACCAGGGTCAGTTCTCGATCATGAAGTACCAGCCCTGCTCCTGGGGGAAAAAAGCCAACACAGCAAAGTGGATGCAGGATCTTCCTAATGTATATCAACCAGAACTGGGGGTGCATGGAGAGGAGTGAATTTTTAAGGATTTTAGACAGATAGTATGTATTGTGTGTGTGTGGGGTCAACATAAGACTGAATTTGACAGAATTCGTTGACATGAACACACTCCCATAAGTCAAGAGTTAACATTTTAGTAAAAACATGCAGCTGATCCTAATAGTTTTCTTTGATGGCACCATGGAGCTTAATCAAATAATAGTCTTCCAAATAAATGAAATGAAAATATCTTTACATAGTGAAGAAGCAATTAGAAAATTCAGGGAGGTGGGAGCGTTCAAATGATTTATGATGTACAGCCATGCTTCGCTTAACAATGTCAATGTTCGGCAATTTCATCATCATGTGAACATCATAGAGTGTACTTACACAAACCTAGATGGTACAGCCTGCTTCAATGTTCGGCAATTTCATCATCATGTGAACATCATAGAGTGTACTTACACAAACCTAGATGGTACAGCCTGCTACACACCTAGGCTTTATGGTACTAATCTTAGGGGACTACCATTGTTTACAAGGTCCGTCATTGACCAGAACGTCGTTATGTGGCTTGTAACTGTGTAGTCTGTCCCTACAATCTGATATAATTGACCTGCCCCGCTCTAAGAAACTCCTTCTTTGAATGATTTGAGAAAAGGATGCAAGAAAAAGAGGGCCAACCAATTTCTTCCAAAATGCAAATAGTAATGGTATAGTAGATACACCAAATAATCTCTCAAAGATTTCTCTCTTTTTGAAAATATATTTTGCACTTGCAAGGTTGAAAATTCTGAGTTCTGCAGTGACATCACCTGGAGGTGGGCTGTGAAAGATAGAAGGTTGAGACTGAGATTGACCTATAAGCCAATTAGCAATTATTGGCCAATGTATTAAAAATTGAAAAACAAGTTATAAAATTAGAATATGTAAGTAATTTTCTTGAAATGAGTTCCTGACTGAGTCATTATATCTGACTTCCAGTATTGGTTCTGTCATTAAAAAATTAGGTGATTTGTGGCAAATTGTTTCACTCAACTTATTTGTAAAATGAGTTAAAATTAAACTATTTTGAAACTTTTTTGATAGATGTTATATAGCATCACATTTATGAACTATGATTCATGTTGAAGTTATTTGTGTGGGTTGAAAATGTCACTGACAGTCACTAGTAAATCAGGTTTTAAGGAGCACATCACAGAACCAAAATGGTTTCTGAGATCCCCGAGGAGAGCTAAGATCATGTGGTTCTCTGAGTAAATTTACAAAATCAGCTTTTAAAATGTGTTTTGAAATACTAGCTCTATGGATTGAGTCATTGAGTGCTTTTATCAGCAAATGTGAGTTATTCCTCAAGGACAGCTTGCTACCTTTTGTGCTATCATTAATCTACTAAAGATAGATGCTATCAAAGTCTACTGCTTACGCTAAAGTGGAAAAGACCACATATGTTATTAAATAATCTTTCCATAAAATAATTGCTGTTGAATTTAAACAACCAGCACATAAATTATGTAATACACTGGGGTACAGTGCTCCCTCACAGTTTTAGACAGCCCAGTACATATTGGCCAGGTATGTAGGCCTACTTTACACAGCTATAGATCAGAATAGTTAAGAATATTTCTGTCATCAGCTAAAATGAAGTTCATATTATTTCTAAGAATAGGGATACAGTTATTATGCATCTCTGCATGGAGTGATCACTTAGTTCTTGAGTCTTACATTTATATTTATAAATACAATCATAATAATTAAACTTATACTGGTGTTGACAGAATTTGTCAAGAAAAACATTTCCAGAACTACATTCGTTAACGTAATTTATTTCATTGGTTCATATTCCATAGAGTGATGTGAAATTATTTCATTTTTTCTTTTTAATTATATCTTCCTGAAAGTATTTTCATTAAGACCTTTTCTGTGTAGTTATACAACAAATTTGATTAATATTGGAAAATTTTTATCTATATCAATCTTACTGATTACTGTTACTGGCCTTGTGAATTTCTTTATGGCGGCTATGTAATCCAACTCAAGTTACACAGGGCCAAATTTTGCAGTTATATCATTTTTCCTAATTTCCAACTTTGTGACGGCCACTACACTCTACCTCTATGTGCCATTTAGCCAATTATCCACTCTCCCATGATTTTGGGTTGGAATATGCTGATGAAGACAAGCACAAGTTTGTAGTGAGACCTTGTTACATTAGCGGGATTTTTAACATCCCAGCTATTACTCTTCTCTCCTAATAATGGTGCTGCCTTTCTGTGGCAGTAACGCTGCAGCGTTCATGTAAGCCAACAATATTGCCTGAAGTCTCTCTTATCAGAGGCCAGGTAGCCATGATGTAGGCAGTTGTTGGGGTCAGAAAGAACAGAATGGAATTAGGGAAACTTCTTTTTCTAAAACTGCTAATTTCCTTTCTAACATTTGATCTGTTTTTAATCTGGCTAAAATTGTACTAAGGCTCTATCAATAACTTATACCATTATTTCTCAAAAAATATGGTTATAAATGGACAAGATAAAATTAACTTATTTTTGAAGCAATCTATTTGTTGCTTAAACTTGCCTCTAACAAAATTTTATTATTATTAGGTGGTATTAAAATTAGAATGTAAAGAGGTCTGGGTGACCAACCAAGCTGAGTTTTGCCACAGAATGAAAGACAATACCTTTGTGGTCACAAGGATTCTCATTCATTCATTCAACCATTTATTCAAAATGGATGTACTCATACCATGGATACAGTAATCTGCAAGGTGGATATGTCTCTTGCCTTCATGGGTCTTACAATTTAAGGGAGACAAGCAATAGTGTGATAAGAACTAGGATTCAGGAAGTCCAGACACCCTGGAATATTTAACCCAGGATTGGGAAATTGCCCCATGGAGGATGTGATCCCAATTAGAGACAGAAAGGGAACATAGACTGGTCTACATCCTGGCTTAGAGCCTTCCCCTCCCAGACAATTCGAACAGAGCTCTGTGGGTTCATCATTCTCTCAGGTTTGGCCAAAAATCACTGAACCACAGATACCTATCTGACCTAAAATTCCAAAGAAATGATTTATCATGGGGATCCAAATTTCTAATAAACAGATCATTCGCTGTTCACTCTCAGGGGCATCTTTTTCCTGCCACTGAGCTCAGTGCTAAATCCAATTTTTAATTAGTCTGGCAATAGAATCACTTTTGCTGGAAAGTTCAACAAAGTCATGGTGAATTCTGAAATATCATCCAGGACTCAGATGACAGAGTGCATCATTTATATAAATGCCTGCACGTCTTTCATTTCTTTCCCCTCCTCTGGTTAGTTCAGGACATATTTTGTCATACTTTAATTTACAAGCAGCCTAACACCTTTCTCTGTTTACACAGCCTTCCTTCTTACATGTTATGATGCACTGAGAGGCCCTTCAACCATACTCCATTTGAGCATTAGCGCATCTCAATTGTACCACTAGAGATCATGAACATTGGAGGATGCACAAACAAAAACTGGATTCAAATCTTTGTTCTGGCATACATTCACTGTGTGACATCATTATAAATTATAATCTGATTTAAATGGGTAATAATTACAACCATAAATGGTGCTTGACAGGAATGATTTTGAAAAGCAAATGAAAAGCTTAAAGATCAATGCCTGGCATAGGGTAGATAGAGCAGCATTTGGTACCTATGATTACTGTCATTGCTATGCCCCGTCCTCTCCTATTCTTACTTCTACTGGCACTGTTAATTTTCTCATTCACAATGTGCTCAGTTTTTACATGTTAGGATCTTAATGGGAAACCTGGTTTCCAACTTGTAGGGGAACCTTACATCTAATGTACATATTGTTTATGGATGGGAGTTTGCTGGTAAAAGCAAGAAGTAAATATCAGTAAAAGTAAATGGAAGATTTTGGAAAAGAATGATAAAGGTCTAAAATATGGTAGGCTACAGGAAACAAAAAAAAATGAAATTGAGAGAAAATATCATTTTCAGGAAGCCTAGATTGTAGGTGATAAGATAATAAATAAAATGAGAATTAAATGAAGGAAGAAGCAGCAGTGTTTTATTCAAGTAATTGTTGCACTTATTTAGTACACTTTTTTTGTCTAAGAATATCTTTCAGGGAGTAACTCTGCTTTAAGTACATTTAAAATTTGCTCTTTGAGGTGGGGTATGTTGGTAGACAGATTCTCAGAGAGAGAGAGAGAAAAGAAGAAAAGATAGAAAAAAGAAGAAACCCAGCCCTTATTTGTAGCTTTTGCCAATTTCCATGGTGTAAGTACTTCCACCATGATCCTTTTCAAGATACTTGAGGTCAGTGAAGGAAGAGTTGAAAAGAAATTCACAGAACTGACTTTCTTGTGAGCTGGTACCAGCTGGCTCCAGCACACCTCTGCTTTTAAATTGTCTTTAAAAGTGAATGCCTATAGCATTGTATTTTTAACAATGACCACAAAATGAGCCTTAATCCCCATGTTAGGAGTCTAAGTGGACTCAATACATATTGTGTTACTGTCTCTTTATGGGCCTTAAGGCTGCCTTTTAGGGGTTGCTCATTTCCTCCTGAGTTCCATGGCTTCAATTACAGTTAATTGTGGCCATAAAAACTATTAATCATTTGGCAAAGGCTACTTCTATACGTGGGGAAATCAAGAAAAATAGATTAACACATTAGGCAGGTAATAATGGCTTTTCCATTATAAAAATTTTATTAGAAATAGCAAAACATAGCATATAACTATCAACTCATTATTTATATTAACATTAAGCAAATTTTAAAAGAATGTAAGCAGAGAGATCCAATTCAGCTCCTACTAAGCTGAATTAGTAGTGAATTAGAATACCATCTGATTATAAATGTTGCTATTATTTCTCCTAAATCTAACATTTTTTTTCCCTTAATCTCTTTAAAGAGATTTCTTTTCCTTCTTTGGTGCTTTGGGTATCGGAAAACCAAGGCCATGACAGTTCTCTCTCTCTTTTTTCTTTTTTTACTACTGTAAATGTCCTCAATGCCTATTCTAAACAGGTCTCTGGGAAGGCCTAAGGATCTGTGGGAATATGGGACCCAGCCGAAGGGGAAAGTGGATGCAAGTGGATGCTGAAACGTCTATGCACAAAGCTCTCATCAGGCAAATAAAAGTTGTCCCTTTCGTCTGCCATCAAGGCAGTGGTGACAAGGGTGGGCCTCCCTAGCTTGCTCAGTAAGCATGCTTCCTACCATAAGGCACAGAAGAACTGGAGCAGGGACAACTAGGTGTTTTACTCCACCAGTGTATCGAGTTGCTTCCCTAAAGGGGCTCTAAGGAGCATCGACTAGGTTCACCAAGAGGTATTTTTTGAAGAAATTCTAGCATAGAAGTGTTACTGGCTCTTAGTTAATATCAGCCTTGATATTGGTTCCCCTACAGTGAACCTGGCATGTATGGAGTTAAAACTAAGAACCCCACCATCCTAGTTCCCTGGATCTTTAGTTACACTCATGTGTAAATGTCTGTTTCTTTAACATCTGACTCCCTGAGCTTTACAACCAAGAAGAAGTTACAAATTGTTAAAGTCCAGATGGCCTCAAACTGGGCTTCCACTAAAGTTGTAGCTAATCCTAGGACCTTGAAGTTTTTTCACAGAGAAACTAATGTCCAGAGAATATCAAGAAACTGAAGCTTCCCAGGCCCAACTCCTTGGCTTCCTGACGTCAGAGTCTACCTTCCACCATGGAGATCCGCAGCCAAGGACGCTCATCTGAGCAATCCTCTGTCTCCTCTGCTGGAAGCAGTCCCAGACACAGGCCGATGGGAAAATGCAGACCAAGAAGTCCACGGTCCCCCTCCCCTACCTAAAACCCCAAATAAAAACCCCTACCCATTTCTTAATGGGGAGCAAGCAACTTTGGGGGCACAAGTCCTTACTTTGCTCCCTCTGCCTGGCAAGGTAAAGCTTTCCTTTTTCTCCCAAGACTCTGTTCTCGTTATTTGGATTGACGTTGAGATCAGAGACCGAACTTTCAGGAACAGAAATGTGCCTTCTCTCATGGAGATTCTAGTTAACTGCCCTTGGGAGCTGGTATTGACAGGTCAGTAGAAAGTTATTGGTTCTACCAAAACCCAAGCACTTTTGGGGTAAATATGGGACGCTGAGTCCCCAGAGAATTTGTGCCATGAGAGGCCTTGGGAGCTGTTGCAGCAGGGCCAGTGTGAAATAAATGCAGGGAGCTCGCGCTGAGGACGTGAACCATGAGCTGCTTTTGGGGGCACAGAAGATCCCTAGGAGGGAGTTCACTGTTCCCCAGACACCTCGAGGAACAATCTTAGCGTTACTGTCCTCTTTGTAAAGGGCACCAGCTCTCATCTGATCTTTAAGATCCAAAGGGAACAGGGAAAGTATTGACTTTTTTTTCTTTCATCATGCTCTTTCTTAAGCTTAGACAAAAACTGTTTAAACTTAGGAATCCTGGGGGTTCTGGTGCCTGAAATCTTATTGCAGAGGCTCAGCTCATTCAGTCAGACAGGGGGAATGACTAAGGTGCTTGTGCCCAGCATGTCGGAATTAGTTAGTGCTTAATACTCTAGTGAGCGTTCAGCCTTCTCTAGGGGTGAAGTTTAAACATTAAAGAGCCCTTTAAAAAAGAATGCTTACACATAACATGTTTGGAAAGAATAATTGTCACTTCTATTGCACGCTTACTTCCAGGTGCTTTGTTTAGGAATCAGCACGCACTGTGATCCCGTTCAGCCCTCACAATCACAGTGAGACTGGGACCTTCAATTTTGTTATTTTTTATTATTATGTCCAAAGTGAAGGTGGGAAAACTCAGTTTTAGAGGGAATATGTATCGTACTCAAGGATTTACAGCTAGGAATTGACTTGAATGCAATTATTTGAGACACCTAAGCGGCTAATGTTTTGCTACATCTGGTACTGAACACATATGTGTGTCAGAAGTTTAAGGAAATTACCAAGTGGATTACTCAGAGCATTTAAAGTATATTAGATTTCTTTATTTTACTTGCGTTTTCATCTGTCAACTTGTCTGTATTGGGATTTACACATTTATGATAAAGTAAAAAAAGGACGGAATTATTATCTGAGTAAATCAGACCCACAGTATAGTTTTCCTATAAATAGTTGACGATTTGAAATAAATTTTTTATTTTTGTTCTTTGTTTTCAGTTTTGCTTATATCTTTTTGTTTGGTTCATTATTTCTTGAATGAGAAGGGAAAACCCAGTTTGTGTGTTCTGTGATGTCAGCAGATGTCTTCTAGTCCACAAGGGAAGAAGTGGAGGAAAGGCAGCGAAGGATGAGTGAAGGGGCTTGAAATGGAAGCTCATCTGCAAACACAGTGGATATTTACAGTTTAATATCTTGGCAAACCCGTTTTGAGGAGCTGATTTTGCATTCCGCCATCAGAGAGAAAATCGATCCTCTGTTCTTGCCTCAAGTCAGATGTAGTTAGATGAGATGAAGCTGATATTTTTGGTCCGCGAAACTCACATGAGCCAAATGTTAACCAGCTATTAAAAACTAAAATAGGACAAAACATTTTATCTCCTCCCTGTTTTTGAAATGACAGCCAGAGCAGAGCCACTCAGCTTCGCTCCAACATTCTCCGCCTCTGGAGTGTTAGCTAATTTACTTTATTCTTTAAACCGTATTTTCTACAGTAAGCACCTATAAAAAGGATTACCATAATTATTTTTGCCTATGGCAAAGTGTGAAGAACGCCCAAGCTTATGTGGTACAGTTATTTTTTTAGACATGCAAACACAGCAGTTCCTTTTACATTTGACTACCCAGCAATTTCTGTAATATCTTCACAATTATATATTATATAAATGCTTATACTACATAATGAATATTTTTATTTCTTGATTCAATTTTATGGTAGGGAGACCATAATGGCATTAAAAATGTGGAAAATTCCTCTTCCTTTTAATGCCATCTGGGTTTCTATAATAGGTGCCAAATGGATATATGAATGCTAAAAATTATATAAAATTGCTTACTTAACTTCAATCTTATGTTCTTTAGAAGGATTTGATGTGTAATTAGCAGGTCCATTCTATTTTACCTTATTGTTAGTTTTTAAATATCTATTTTCAAAAAAATGTGAAAAAACCTAAAAAACTTAAAATTTTCCATTTAGAGAATATTATCTACCATTATGTTCGATGATAAATGCATACAATTCAAGCAACAGAGAAAAGCAAACAAATAAATAAAACATTTCCCTAAATCTCATCATCCAAAAATAATCCTTGTTTACATTTGGTGAAACTTATTCTGGTCACTTTTAAAAGCATATACACAAAAAGAAGGGTAGATGGATGATAGGTTTATAGAAAAAAGTACATGTAAAAATAAATTGCATTTTATATTTTTGAGTGAAATTATCTTATTGAAAACTAATGTATACAAGTGAGAGAAAATGTAAACTGCACAAATTGGCCTACCATCTTGTCACCAAAAAAACGTTTTTCTCCCAACACAGAACTTCATTTGTATGCCCCAGCAATAAGGAAGCAAATAATGTTACTTTTGTCCAGTGAATTTTTAAATTAAGTGTTTATGTATACAATATATTTAATACAAAGCTTTACATTTATTTTTACTTCAAGTGAAAGATAAGCAGGTAAAGCTAGGGAAATTTCAGAGTTATGCATAAATGTTTAAATATAAGAATTATTGCTTTAGAAATAAACTGTCTAAAGTTAAGGAAAAATAAAGACATAATTTCAGTCCTTTAAAAACCACACTACATTATAACTAAAGACCCAAAAGTGTAAAGAACTCTGAGGGTTATGATAAAAAGAACAGAATTGAGGAATCATAATTTGTGTATATGAGGCTTTTACTCTCTGGGAATTTATTGATTTTTCTTTCTAAATATTAGGAACATTCTCTAATTTTTGTATGTAAATGGTTACTCCATTGTTTAAAAATAGTCGTTATTACTAATTAATGCTTCCTAAATGTTAAATATTGTTCACATAATGAATAATTTATCATTGAAAATAGGAATAAGGTTGGAATAAAATGACTTTACCCTTATTTTTAATTTTTTAACATAAACTCTTAAATGCCCAGGAACTTAGCTGGCTTAATTTTTAGTTTTAATTTATATTATATTCCTACCTATATATACTACTCCATAATTTAAGAATACTTCAAAGTAACTGGTGCTAATTAAATATTTGATAAATGCAAAATACTATTTGAAGCATTTCAATTTATTCCTCAAGACAATTCTGTGCATCAGATGCTGATAAACTGAACTTAGAAAGTTGTTCCAAGTCACATTGTAGGGGAAGTAGATTGTAATTCATGCAGTTTGGCTACAGATTCCCCATGCTTAACTGCTATGGTATGCTCACTCTCAATTTTGGTCCATATTAGAACAGAGATGCAAAGTGAAAGATCTGCACTTAAAGATCTCTTTAAAGAGGAGAAAGGGAGGTAAACCGATCAATTCTGTGCAGTGCGATATATACAACGTACAGTGATGGAATCTGTGCAGGAGCAGTAAGAAGGGAAAGAGAAAATACTTCAAAGAAGAGAAAATGTTTGAGCTGGGAATTAAAGGACAAGGAAGAGTCTTAAGAAGAGACAGCAGTATGTGTGTGTGTGTGAGTGTGTGTGTGAGTGTGTGTGTGTGAGTGGAGTGGTAAGAGGAATGGTAAGTGGGGGTGTGGGTGGCAGTGTTTCCAGGTAGCCAGCACATGAGGTATGGCATGAGGAAGCTACAAAGCAGCATGAAATAATTCAGTAAATTCCAGGTGGTGACACAGATGAGGTGTAAGATGCAAGCAATTTAACTAAAGGAAATGAATTTGGTGAAAAAATAAATGCTAAGGCAACGGAGGGCTTTGGATGCCTTGAAAAGACATCTCATTCAGTAGCTGATGTTGTGCAATGGATTTTAATCAAGGAAGGAACCATTTATGTCATAGAAAGTTGACCATTGTTCTTAGATTATAAGAGATGAATGGTGGAAGCTCACATGTAGTTATAAGACTATCATAATTCTCTTAGTGAGAGGTAGTGTCATGCTCTGTTTTATCAACATCCTTAGTATTGCTTAGAAAAGCATGCAGTGTAAACAATTCAGAGAAAAATGGTTAACTGTGATTTGGAAAAAATACTGCCTAAAATGGAAAGAAATGTGGTTCTTCTGGAGAAAGTTCCTACAGAAAGGATATCTTTTTTCAACATGGAAAGCAAATAAAATAGAGGAATATAACGTGAGAGCTAATCAGCAATTGCAACTAAAGAAAATAAAGGTCTCTGCTCAGAATTTCTAGATAATTGGCTATAGTGTTTCTGTATCAGGGAAAATGTCACATCTTGATAAGATGTGGAACCTCTCAAAGACATTTTTTCTGATAAAATAGGTGAAGCATATTACCGAGATGATTTCATTGTCAGACTACAGAAACAAAATCTGTCCACAACAGAAATCATTTGAGGACTGTAGGCCAGTCAGGTAAAAACTATGGTACTTAGTGATATACAAAGAAGCTCTGAATAAACAGATTCTCCAGTGTAACCTAGTATTTAACCTAGTATGAGAATCGTCTTCTTTGCCATCATCATCATCATCATCATCACCATTAATTAAATTCTAAGCACTTATATTCATTTGACCCTACAACACCTTTAAGAATTTGGCACTGTTACAATCTCTCTCTCTCTCTCTCTCTCTCTCTTTGTTTAAGCCATGAGAAAACATGGTGTTAGAGGATTTAGGTTGCGAGCTCCAGTAAATTCCCAGGTCCCTACCCAATCTGTCTGAATTTGGAGCCCATGCTAAATTCAAATATTTGAAAATATTTCAAGAGAAGTGGGAATTAAGCCTTTTGCTGCATGATTCCAAAGGATGGGATTAGGACGATGAGAAGAAACTCCAAGGAGAGTTTGGGCTCAGTAGAAGGAAGATATCATCCACAATCTATGCTGGCCCCAAATAATAGATTCTCTTGAGGTTACTCAGCTAAGTCTAGATACTCACTATGGGAAATGAGGGGAGGGTGGGTAAAGACATGATTCTATATGTTTTAATTGTAGTAACTCATCTAATCCTATGGTGATGCTGTAGAGAGGTTCTATTACTGTCATTCCCATTTTATACATGGAAAAAATGGGGCACTAACAGGTTAAGTTACTGGCCTCATGCGGAAAGCTAGTAAAGGGAGAAGCTGGGGTTAAACCCCGTGCAGCCAAGCTCCAGAGTCGGCCTCCCCCTGGAGATGCTTCAAGCATCAGAACATATGGTTGAACTAAGTGAGTTTTACCTTCCCTTCTAACCTTGAAACTTGATGATCATATGCAGTCAGCTGGCTGACACATTCCCATAGAATAAACATACACAGCATCTCCTTGATGTTGCACTGCCTGTCACATTTGGAAATTCTTGAAAAAAAAAATCTCTTTCTGAAGGTCATGCATGGGCAAGTGCTATAATGTGAAAGGAATTGAAATCCTAATTTGAAGAAATGCTCCATTTGCATCTACATGCAGCTTTATGATTTATGACAGGAGACTTTTCAGCTAAGATAGAAAGTTTTACAGTGTGAGTGATTTTTCATTTTCCAATCTCAACAGGAGCTTCTGAATCAAAATAAAAAATCAAAACTTATTTCGATTTATATTAGAGTAATTTAAGATAACGTTTCCAAAGTTTTCTTATTTGACATACTAGCTATCTTTTATCATAATCACATTATAACAAGTAAATGAAGTTTCTAAAAATGACGATGCGGAAAAAAATAAATATCCACGAAATTATGGTACTTTTGAATGTGAAGTAGTTTACCATTGTGAGAACATCCATCAGTACTAGTAGAATATTTAGTAACTTAGAGAAGTTCGTCAATGCATGGCATTTCGTCTTCATTACATAACTTTCAAAATCCTCTTTTACTTTTTTTCCCTCAATTATTGTGTATGGACATATCAGTAATAAAAAGGAACACAGTCAATAAAGTATTGTACTACCCACCTCCATATATTGCAACAAAATGCAAAATCGTTCAGGAATAGAATCATTATATGTATTTTTAAATTACTCTTCTTCAAGCAGATTTTTATCTGAATCTAATAAATATGAGATATTTTGCCATTCTCATGGAAAAACCATATTTTTTATCTCCTTCTCTCTGCAGTAAGCAGAGAATAGTAGCAGTGGTTATTGAAATGAAGGCAATGAGATATCAGTGTGAAAGATAATGCACAACCTGGTTCATCTAAATAGGTTAGGAAATTTCGTTTCCACTATATAATAACTCTTAGAGAGGCCACTTTCTATTTTAGCTGAAAAGTCTTCCTGCCATAAATCATAAAGCTGCGTATAGATACAAATGGAGCATTTCTTCAAATTAGGGTTTCATTTCATTTCAATGAAATGGAAGTTTTATGATTTTATTTTCATAGGTCAGCATAACTTGTCAGACTTATTATAATCAGTGTTAATAACATATCCACTTACATTATGTTCTTCCAAACTACGCAGTTTTACATGAATAAAATAGAAGTTTCATGAACAACTGACTGATACCTGATTTCAACCATGTCCCTACAATATAAAGATGGTTAAGTAAAACCTGTGAAGAAGCCTAAATATGAAATGATGCCTATTTACCCAAGTGTTTGTAGTTTTTCATTAGCTATTTCAAAATTCTGATCATTTTTTTCTTATAAACTAAAGATTTCCCAAGTTGCTCTTCATTATTTTTCGCAGAATTTACCAACGGTGTTATCATGCAGTGTGATTTTGGGAGCTGGATCTCTTTACAGCTCAAGTAATTACTGAAGAGTTAGGTAGACATTCTAAAGAAGTCAGTCGAGTATGTTAAGACACGTGGTCCCTGTGTGAGGGCTGTTGCTGCACCAAATGCTGGTATAGTTTCTGGTGCATTTGAAAATTACTGAAGCTCTGTCACAAGATTTTACCCATCCTAAAATATCTGCTGGTTTCGAATTTGCTGTGTTTGTGCTCCTTTCCAGACTTCAGGTTAAATGATGTGAAGAGAGGCAAGGGACGGGAAATTCCAAATTGGCACATGTTCCAG